TATTATTTCATCATAATCATAATTATTAATTTCTAATAACACAAATGATTTCAATCATTTTCAAAATAGCATCCCTAAGACAGTTCATACAAGACATAGTATACATAAAAATTGATTATAAAACTATTTACCAACCTCATACCAGAGCATACAATAGATAAAAATTAGTTACCTAGTCTGCTAGCTAATAGTCAAATACAACCAAAGCCTAACCTCGAAAACGCCACAATAAGGTTTATATCTACAAACGAAATTAAAATATTATCTCTATAGTATTAGAGTAAGCTATTGAATAAATCCTAACCTCTAACTCCTCCTCTAAAACCTTCAAACTTTTACTCATAATTCTAGTTTACAAGGCCTTTTTCTAAGGTATGGAGTGGGAACATATATATATAATTTAGAATCGATTTTTAACTTTTTCTCAACTTAAATGTCCTTTAATTATTAGATTATAGCATTAGAATCATTAAATTCATAACGTAGATAGAAAAACTCTAATTTATAACTTATGTTCCATCTTCGAATGACTTAAATAAATAGATTTAATATAAGCTAGATTATTTTCACTGCAGAAGTTAAACCATTGATCTGATCATTGAATTTAATTTCTTATCTATCGTGATTCTATTTTCCAAATTATGGCTCAATCTAATGGTGAACGAAATTAAAAATGCTAATTTACTATTCAAGACTCTATCTACCAAATCTAAAATAAATAAATTGAAAACATACCTAATGACTTGTAACTCTAAGATCAAACTGACGATCCAACTGTTGAAATTGATGATTTGGATGTCTCAAATGGGCTGACTAAATTTTAGTCTGATCCAACGGTTAATGAACTCAAAACTAGCACTTTTCTAAGACAGCCTCATATATGTGCGAAAATTGTTTATTCACTCCAAACTCCACCCACCACTTCCTATATATAGGCTCCTCAAACTCCTTTACTCTAGTAATTAGTCGATGTGAGACTTCTAGACCATGCTATATTTTTCCATTTCTATAATATCACACACACAATCATGATTAATTCAAAAAATAATTTGTATATTTAAATTTTATTAACTTGATGCTAAAAGATATTTATTTATAGATTTAATTAAATTCTAGGTATAAAAGGATCTTACATATGTTCAGTTAAATTGTTGATCACTAATCCAAAACTAAGCAAGTAGCTTTCTGTTTAGTAGGGATGAAAATAGGCCAAACGGCCTGTCAGAAGCTTGTGGCCTGGCCTGCCTGTATTTGGCTGATTTGGCTGGTATTTTTTCAAAATAAAAAAAAGCTCAAGCCTTTTAATGACATGTTTAGCCTAATAGGCCAAGTTTAGGCCTTTTGTTAGGCCTGGCCTGTTTGTTATCTCATTTTTAATTTTTATTATATACTTATATCTAGTCTTATTTTAAATTTTAATATATAATTATAACTTTTTTTCAATAATATTAACTATAATTAAGATTTAAAATATTACTCATGACATTAAAATTCAAATAAAAGATAATAATAAATAATTATTATGCAGTATGTATATTTTACATTTTTTTATTAGCTTACATATTTTTTATTATGTATTTTGAAAATTTTAAAATTACATGCTTTTTTAACAGGCCAGCCTTTATACAAACCAGGCTCAGGCTAAAAAAAAGATCTTATTACAGGCATAGGTCAGGTTCAGGCCAGTGTGTTACTAAACAGACCTGGTTTATTAAGAAAAAGCCTGGCTTAGTCTGGCCTATTTTTATCCGTACTGTTCAGTCATATACAGCAGCGAGTACAAAACAGCCGCGTCCCCAGAAATCAGAGTGGAAATAAAAACCTTTGAGACTGTGGTTATGGATAAGTTTTGCCTGAATCGACATGGCCTACTCGATCTTCCAGGCCATGATCGTCAAAACCCTGTAGCTATTTCAGCCCGTATAACCTTGTCGTTTTACTATGATTTTATCTGGAAGCAAATTAAAGTTATACACTGGAGAGATAAATTATTGTATGCCATAAACTTCAATAAAGAACAAGGCATTGTTCACGCAAAATGTAACTTTAAGAGTAAAATATATAAATAAATAAATAATTACTTAAAGATTTTTTTTTGGGCGGGGGGGCCCAAAAAAATGCAAAAAATGAATAGAAGATGGGGGAGCCGGGAAGGGGGAGCCCGTGGTGTGTTTTGGATAAGGGAAGAAGATAAACTGGGTGGCTGATAGTGATCCTAATAGGAATAGGAATAGGAATAGGTAAGCCACGTAACCTACGCGTTTCCGCGTTAAGTGAAGGCCACCGCCCCTCTCCTGTTCCTTTGACTCCTTTTTAACCTTTTTTATCAAAAAATAAATATACTAGTAGTACTAGTAAAAAGGACTACAATCAAATTAGCCCTTCCCTTATTAACTTATTATCTGATTTTAATATAAAATCTAATTAATGTGTTTGTTTTAATTTTAAATATAAGATTTGGATTTTAAATTTATTTTATTATTTTAAAACAGGATTATTTCAGAAAAATGAAATATTTTTACGCAATGATAATTAATAACCAGTTTAGTCATTTTTTTATTTTTTTATGATTAAATTTACCATGTTTTATATTAATAATTAATTATCATGTGAGTATTACTATGAACAAATGAAAAGACAGTTATTAACTGTCAACAGTGTTTTGGGAACTGTGTGACGTCATTCTGAAAAAGATGTATCCGTTGTTTTAGGCTTTTAGCTGTTCGGCCGTAAACAGCCACAAAAGTCAAACTTCAATTCAAGATATTTTTTTCTTTGGGGGTGTTTGGCAAGTTTTTTTTCCAATATTCCAAATATGGTTTTGGAAAAAACTTGCCAAACACCTCCTTTTTTTGGAAAACCAAGGTTTCTATGAAAATTATGGTTTTGGCCAACCAAATCATGGTTTTTGTATAAGCTGGCAAATTGTGAATTATGGAGAAATATATTTGTTGAAATAATAATTGCTCCTGTCAGAGAGGTTTCAACGGTAGAAAACAAAATTCTCTCTCCTCCCCATTCTGAAATTTGTCGCCATCGGTGACAAATTATTTTACGAAAAACATATTTAGTTATTTTATTAATATATATACATATTAATTTTAATTATTTTATTACTATATATTATTTATTAATATATATACATATTTAATTACTTTATTAAATTATTTTGCAAAAAAAATATTTATTTATTTTATTAATATCTATACGTGAGGTATATTTTATTAATATCATTTATTTACTTCAAATAAACATATATTATGAAATATGTCTTATATGTAATTATCATTTAAACTTATGTTCTTTTTAGTAATTTTTATATATAAAAAAGCACTTCTGATAACAACTATCCAAACACTTTCACTTTATCAGAATCACTTTTTCAGAAAATCTATTCTTTCAAAATCTATTATCTAAAAGCTATTCTCTAAACCATGGTTTGGTTTCATCCAAACACCCCTTTAGTCTTTAATTCAAGATACCAGATACCATACCCTTTTCCCTTCCAAGAACCTTCCATCATCCATTCTTCTCGCTCTCACACACACAACATCCACTAGTAGCTGCTAGTAGTACATTAAAATAATTAATCACAATTTTTTTATCCATCATTGTGTAGGAGTACTGCTTTGTGTATTTACAAATCTGGAAGAAAATTCCACTCCAAACACTCCTGGAATCAAATTATTCAAATTACCTTTTCATTCATTTTTTTGATATATTTTTGTGACACGCTTACGCTTAATTTAATTATATCAGACTTGCAAAATACTAATTGAACTGTACATACATTGGCACGTAGACGGGACAGCCATTTTGTCATCAAACGCAGTCAGAGAGTCTCACAAAGAATGAATTTAAAAAATACAATCAAGATTTGCAGGTCAAAGTTCCTGTTTTTAATATTTACACACCACATCGCTTGCGAAAATGATTTTTCCCCTTCTTTTCTTTTTCAATCCTTTAAACTTTGGCCATTATTGGAATCTTAAAAAGTAATTATATTAACGCAATAAAATTTATATAAATTATAATGTTTTATGAACAATTTTATACGTATTGATTAAACACTCTCTCTCTCCCTCTGTGTGGATGCTTTATGAACTAAACGTTCCTTACATAATAAATAAGCTAATTACTTGCAAACTTTGAAAGTATAAAAGCCAATAATCCATAGCATTAAGCCAAAGTGAACAACTGAATGAAACTATGAACATCAAAAAAGAGTAATACTTTCACTATATTTATAATTTAATTTGTATATCAAATATCTCCACTGATTAAACACATTAAAAAGAATTTTTATTAATGAGATTACTTTCCAATATAAATCATTAAAACAAATAACCAATTCACCTAATTAATTTTTATAAATTAATTATTTTTATCAATAAGGATCAAAACACGTGGCACATAATGAGTTGAAGCAACGTGGAGGAACCAATCCATTGCGGGCGAAACAACAAATATCTTCGCTCGCAAGCAAAATCCAGCTTGTGGTTAATCTTTTTTTAAAGGTCAACTCCACGGGCTGAGTTGTCTCCTCCTCGCACATAAAACCTCATGAGGTCACCCGGACTCCAAACCACATATATATATATATAGAGAGAGAGGAGAGAGAAGAAATTGCCAACCCCTTGACTGATTCGCTCACTTGCCACACTCCCCCCTTACCTTCCGCTTTCCCATCACCAATCTGACTTATCCCCAAATTTAAAAAGAAATAAAACCCAAATATTTTCTTTTTTTGGAATTGTCTTCTGGGCAGACAAAACGCAACACGTGCCATCTAGAGGGATGATGACCAACACAGCTGGCCCAAGTTCAAGGCCCACCTTCCACTGCCTTGGGCCAGCTGGCTCCGTGTGCGCTCTTTCCATCCCTCCTTCTTCATTCTTTCCTCCTCTATATAGCACAACCTATAAATACTTGAATCGTTCTCAAACACTGAACCAAGCATCAACTAAACAAGAGAGAGTGATATCTACTCACAAACAGTGAAGCAAACTACTGACGACTCCCAGTTCCTTACTCTCTTTTCTTCTTCGATCGATTCACACCTGCAAGGACTGAAGGTTGGAGTTTCATTTATTTCTATGTTTTCATTCACGTGTTCTTCAGACCCACATCCTCTGAGGCTGCGATATAGTAGTGATTTAGAGGTGGCGGAGTGCGCGACGTCGCCGGCTTCGGACTGTGGCAGTGGCAACGGAGTTCGTTCTTTGGTTTTGTCCGACGAGGAGGTGTTGTTGGCTGCGAGTCACCCGAAGAAACGCGCCGGAAGGAAGAAGTTCCGGGAGACTCGCCACCCGGTGTACCGGGGTGTTCGGAGGAGGAACTCCGGCAAGTGGGTGTGCGAAATGCGTGAGCCCAATAAGAAAACAAGAATTTGGCTGGGGACATTCCCCACTCCGGAAATGGCCGCGAGGGCCCACGACGTCGCAGCGATAGCTCTGCGGGGCCGGTCAGCTCTTCTTAACTTTGCAGACTCTGCTTGGCGGCTGCCACTGCCGGCGTCCACTGGGGCCAAGGATATTCAGAAGGCAGCGGCAGAAGCTGCGGAGGCATTCCGCCCAGGGAAGAAATCGGAGGGCGACGAATTAATTCCGGAAAATGCAGAGGCAACGACCGACACGGCCGTGGCGATGGCGGAGGAGCATAGTATATTCTTAATGGATGAAGAAGCAGTGCCGGGGATGCCGGAGTTGCTGAGGAACATGGCGGACGCTGTGCTGATGTCGCCTGCTCATTCCTATGGGGATCAGCACGATGATGCTGACGTGGAACTGGATGATGCTGAGGTGTCATTATGGAGTTATTCAATGTAACTTTATTATTAACTATTCAAGGCGCGTGTGGTGTGGATAAAATGGGTTGTGTACAATCCTTTTCTTTTCGGCACTAACTAGTCGGTAGTCACTAGTTCTAGAAGTAGGGCTTCTCGTTAATGATTTTTTTTTTTACCTCCCCAAATGTTTTGGTCGGGAAGTATCCGTACTTTAAATTTTATCATGTACGGATGCTAAATCCTATGCTAAAGTAGAAAGGAGAAATTCAAAGAATCCATGGAAACGAGATTTTGGACAGAGTGTTGTATGAAATTCGAAATTAAATATCTTGTTATTTATAAATACTTGAATAATACAAAGTTCACAAACACTGACACATATAGAGGGTATGTTTTAAAATCACATTCGGTGACAATGAATTAAGAGGAAAGATTTTACTTGTGCAATTTAGTATTCATCACGAGGGCCCTTAAAATTGTGTTCTGCACATATCATCTACTACCATAACAACTCTCATTCATAACTGTGGCTCATTGAATAAATTTTTGTGGTCAAATAAACAAAATTTTGTCTGCATTATCGTAACATGCAGTTCCCAATGAACAAAATACCTTGATTCTAACTGACTAAAATTCCCTTTTAAATATGTTTAACCTGATCAACGCTTGTTTTCCTTCTTAGTCTTGGGATCTAATTTTAAGTTTAATCCTTATAATTTCAAATTATTAATTTTAATCCCTATAACATCATAAGACTCATTTAAGTTTAACTATAGAGACCAAAATCAAAATTTATCACAAGTATAAGAACCGTTCATTAAATAAAAAATGAAACTATAAAAGATCAAAACCAACAATTTGAAACTACTATAATTTAATCACATTACAAAGACTAACAATTGTATTAATCTCGAGCATAAATATTTCAACATCGCATGTAGTTACTATCTTTGCCTCCCGTGATCATTTTGATGATTGCATTTTGTTTTTGGGAGTTGAAGAGCAAGACTGCAAGAGAGGCACGCACGTCATTCGACAAATGAGATGTCGATATTTTTAGCTCAAAACAGCCAGAAGAACATCAAAATTTGAAATTATGTGGAGATATAAATAGATGGTAAACAATTTGGCCTATGAAAATACAATGGGATGTTGACACTGCTTGCGAACCCTTAATGCAGGACTCTTCCAAAATCAAAGAAAATGTAACAAGTCACTGTCGTGCTTGTGACTCAATGTGGCCGGCAGCTTCCTCCAGAGATAGGAGCTCCTGCAGAAGGGAAGCGAGCTTGGCATCATTATCTTGTTGAATATGGGGTGGAACCTTCTCTCTGTAACCTGAAGCATTTATGGTCTTCTCCAACCTCTCCTTTTGCCTGCAATATCATAGCAAAACCCAAATTCCTCAGAATCCGCAACAAAGAAGTGGTACTATTTATTTATTTATTGTTCGCAAAATCAATGTTGGAAAGCTTACTTCTTGAACTCATCCATCTTCTTCTTGATCTTTCCTAGCTCTGCTTCACCAGAAATAGTTCCTTGAAGCTCTATGTAAACAGATAGGTTCTCATTCACAACTGATACAGCATACCCAGAAGGAACAGCATCGTTTTCATTTATCACCTGTGGACCATAAAGCATTACAGGTGAACATAGAATACAAAACAAAAAAACAAGTGAGATGGTGGTATGCAACAATTGCCCGTCTTACTGAAATTGAAAAGGTGACGCTCTACATAAGTATCGTATTTAACAATAACAATTACTCATTAACCAAACAAGAAAACAGTCAAAATCACCCAAGCATATTGGGTTCTTTCGTTAATGGTATACATGAAAATGACAAAACACCCAAGAAAATAAAAGGAATACGTGTGACAGCACAAGAAAAGCCATTTCAAACAGATTATCGAACTTACTGTCAAAGATGACAGATTTGCCAGAGTTACAATCTCCAATTGATGGCTGTTAATAATCTCTCCAACCACCTGTGTTCGGCAGAGCACAAAAGCAGGCCGCCTAACAAAACAAGCATCAAATTCAAAATTAGCAAAGCATGATAGACCAAACATCTACCAAGCTAATCATGATGTTAAGGTTTGACAGAAATATGTTCAGAGTTCTATTTGAAAGAACAGCGCCCTACAGCTTCCAACAACCCTGCTCCAAAAGAGATTACGGCCAAGGAGAACCAATTCAATCTCCTCTAACTTTCTAGAAAATACAACAGATTTGTTTCACTACTTAAACAGAAAGCAACGATTTTTTTAAAAGATAAAGATTGGCTTTCCACAGATGCAATTTTCAGCATTTAAGAAGTGTGTGCGTGTGTTTTTTTTGGGGGGGGGGGGGGGCTGAAGGAATTCAATAACATGTTTTCAGAAAGAACACATGTGCAAGCAAATAACAAGTCCTGCATGAATTTGATTTAAATTCCATGATACTTGAGATGTGGGTAAAAAAGGCACATAGATCCCCTGAGTTGCAAGCTGCAAGCACTTTTCTAAGAGAACAGTGCAATCTGCACTCAAGAGGAGCCAAATCTGATACAATGATGAAATCTTGCCATTAGAGGCGAGAGGCACGGACACCAGCTTTTATACCAATCAAATGGTTAAATTTAGCTGCCGCAACTATATGCATCTAGCTATGTACTTTCCTTATCCCATATTGAATTATTTTTTACAGAAAAATGGACAGGTTAGAATGAAAACAAATGCTTCCACGTACCTATCACGTCTTTCATTGGCTAAAGACCTGAGAGACTTGACTACAGACTCCACAAGATCCATAGCATTCTCCACCACTTCATTGTTCCAGCACTGAGATTAAAATAAAATATTCATCACAAATAACATAAGATTATCTATTAAGTATTAACTAACAGCCTAAACATGTTAAGTAACTCGGTATCATAATAACAGGACTATATTTGCTGCGTCATTCCTGATATATTCAGTAGACAAGAAGGATGAAAAAGAAATAAAGTGGCTCTTTTTCAAAAAGAAAATATCAATCAGAATAATTGAATGAAAATATAAACAAACGGCATAATCAGAGTATTTGGCAAAGTAGTTAATATTCGCAATACCAAAATATTTAGACAAACTAACCTCTACGGCAGTTGGATAATTGCATGTCATGATTGATTCTGCTTTCTTAAATTCCCTGGGCGAAGGAAGGCGCTGCCACAATTCTTCCGTGACAAAGGGCATAAAGGGGTGAAGCAGCCGCAGGCCAATATCAAGACAGAACCACAACGTATCTTGTGCAAAACGTCTTTCAGAAGCAAAATTGGGGTTGTACCAGCGAAATAAGGTTTAATCACTTCAATAAAGACATCACACAATTGATACTGCCACCAAGAATACACAGCAGTGGTTGCATGGGAGAACTCATATGATTCTAGGGATTTCACTGCCTTAGATATCGTTTTATTTAACATTGAGAGTATCCATTGACAGCTAAATGGAAGAACACTGGAAGTCAAATTTGCGGGTGGAGTATAATCATCTCCAAGTTTGCTCATAGCAAATCGTACTGCATTCCACAATTTATTACACCACTGCCGGTACCCAACAACCCTTTGGATGTCCAGGTTAATTTTGTCAGACTGAAACAAATGACAACAGAAAAAAATATGAAAAGAAAAAAATAAAGGTCATGCGTATAATCAGCCAATTAGACAATGCTACCGAATACCAGTGACCAAATACCTGAGCTGTGTACGAGACCAGTGCAAAACGGAGAGCATCAGCACCACACTCTTCAATACCATTTGGAAAGTCCTTCTTCTGACCTTCTTTGGCAATAGCTAATTCTTTTGGGTCCAGATTTCCTTCTTCTAACCTCTTATGTAGACCTTCCAGAGATATGCCATTGATCACTTCAATTGGATCAACAACATTTCCCAAGGACTTTGACATCTTGCGACCATGTGCATCTCGAATCATGGGATGCAAATAAACCTGCATTGAGATTTTAAGTTTTTTATCATGTCAATGACCTAAAATTTATTTAGCAGACCAATGATCAATTAACAGCATGCATTTTATGTGAAAATGCGACTGAATATCATAATTAGATTCAGCATGCATTCACCTTTCTAAAAGGCACATCACCACCCAACTTCATTCCTAACATCACCATGCGTGCAACCCAGAAAAAGAGAATATCATGACCAGTTTCGAGAACAGAAGTAGGATAAAATGCCTTCAGGTCTTCTGTATCATCAGGCCAACCCAGTACAGATAATGGAAACAAACCAGAAGAGAACCACGTATCAAGAACATCTGGATCCCGGCTTAAATGAAACTTCTGTCCATTATACTTTCGGCTAGCCTCCTCCTGGGCCTCCTCTTCACTTCTTGCCACTACCCAGTGATCACTGTACGCACCAAATTCCTTCAGGATGTCATCCTCTAATGTGACATACCATGCAGGTATTTGGTGACCCCACCATAGCTGTCGAGAAATGCACCAATCACGTATATTTTCAAGCCACCTGTAAAATTCTGTCTTGATCAACTTCTGGTTCAATATAATAATTCAAAAAAGACCCCAAAACATAATCACAAATTCAGCAAATCATCAGTGTCTGCAAGTATTCACTTCAAGGTCACGTCTTGTGCAATAATTTATAGCAAAAATCTGTT